TGAATGCATCAAATGGACTGTGTTTTTTCGGGTACCTTCCAGCAGGATTCACAGAACTCCTTCACATTAACGGTTCGGCACAGCGTGATGATGAACATCGTCAGAGAGTCCGAGGGCAGACAGTTATAACACACCACAGCGTCTAACACCTGCAGCGCAACCTACACACACACACACACACACACACACACACACACAGATAAAAGGATCAGCTATCACTGGTTTGATGGTAATCCTGAAAGACTGAATCAAGCGCCACTCTGACGTACCTCAATATCGGTGGAGGAAGTCGTCCGGTTACACAGAAAGCAGATTTTCCTGTGAGAAAACAAAGATTCAACGATGTGCGTGAAAACCTTCGTACATTTCGATTTCAGCTCTGCATATTCATTAACCAATTTCATGGGACCCTTTTAAAAAATAACTACAGGAGGAGGAGCATGTGTGCTGGATACTTGATCATCCATTTTGAACTTGTTGAAGTTGATGTGCGAGTGTTTTCTTACTGGACCATGAGGGAGACGTTCTCATCCAGGTAGCACGAGTTGAATTTGACCAGGTTCACGAGGACATGCAGGAAATCTGAGGACAGACCGATTTCCATCCACAGCAGGACGAACCGAGCTGAAAGAGAGAACACACACAAACACCATTCACATTCATTATTTGGAAAACAGCGGCTGGGACAGACACAGGAGAGAGAAATCACACAGGTTTGGGGGAACATGAGGGCGAGTAAATGAGGTTTAGGCCGTGTTTACTCCTGGTATTAAGATGTGTTTTGGCCGATCGGATCACAGGTAGACGAGGGAGACACATTCCCGCTCACACCTGGTGTTTTAATCCGTCTCTTTTGTCCACTTTCAGCCACTTCTGTCCTGATTTCCTCGAGGGGAGGGTCTATGGCCGTCTAATGTGTGTTTTTTCAGATCTTTCGATCTAAACACGGACTCACGGAGAGTTTAGTTTCTGCTCTGACAGACGCAAGATCAGCCGAACGCTGCGAGTGTGTGTTAGAGATCAGGAATGATGAGAGAACATTGTGCTTGACGCGTTTTTCATCTTCAAACCAAACTTGAGTCTCCAGCCGATAGTTTAAACCCCGTCTGGCTAGAGCTCTTCATAATGTTACGCATTAGATCAGCAGACGGAGAGAAGACGGTCTTTTGTGGCTGTTTGAACACACTCGACCACATGAGTGTTTACACTACGAAAGCAATGCGGTCAGATGTGTTTTCAACTTCCTCTGGAAGTGGACAAGCTCAAAACGCTTTAGACCCCGTTTACAGCTGTATTAACACCTTGTAATCAGACTGACGAAAACACATCTTAATAACAGGTGTAAACAGGGCCATAGATGTGGGTATATATATGTCTGTGTATAAATATATATAATCGTATAAACAACATACCGATCTCCTCCTCTAGGTAAGTGATGTCTTTCCCGTTCTCCGTGAGGGCCTTGAACACCTCCAGTCTCTCGGCCAGATCTTCATTAGAGGGCTGATAGTCCAGAATGATCTTAAAGAAGTACGCTCTTAATGGACCCAACCGCTCACCCTACACAAGAGCATGGAGAAAACGTGAGCTCTGTTCGCAGGGCACAGCATTGTTGTTCCTAAAGTGTTGAAAATGCACACCTGTCCTTGTATAATGGCTCTCAGCAGCACCAGCACTGCATGATGGGCTTCAGGCGGTTGTTCAGGGTGCATCATATCCTCCACGGCCTTCCATAACGCCTCCACCGCATGCTGAAACACACACACACACACACACTTTAGATCCACTTATCCGCACATATACATTCAGGAACACACAGCTGCACCTCTACGATCTCACCTCCTCAAACTTCTTGGATTTGGCGAGATCACACACATGGTGGATGACTTTGATCCGGTGGTTTAGGCTGGACTCTGGAGTGAGCTCCTGAACGATGGGATAAGAGAGATTATATGAGGAACACAAGGTCATGGAGAAGTACAGAAGATGTGAATGTTCAGTTGGAGCATCTCTGACCATCAGGATTTCCAGTGTGATGATAAACTCTGAGGGTTTGCTCTCCGTCTGCTTGCTGTGGGGCCGGGACGAACCGAGGCCAAACACTCCCTTCAGCCTGTCCCGCAGAGACTCTTTACTGGGCTGTTTATTCATCTTCACGCCTGTGAAAGACCCTGAACTAGAGAGAATGAGAGATACTTTAGACCTCCTGGAGCTGGAGGTGCACAAAAAGTAAACAAAAACACCATATACAGTACATACACACACATACATATATATATATTTATATATAACCTTTAGTTTTTTCTCCCCTATACCTGCTTTTTCTTTCTTTGTATTATACCTAAGAATTACAAATAAATGTTTCTTATGTTATTAATGAAAGATATCACACATATATTAAGGCGCCGTGGGCCCCTAATAGTCTGGTAGTGTGGTCCCAGAGTCAGAAAAATCCTTCAAACAACCTTACATGTGTGATTTGTGACATGTCATTTCCAGTACATTTGACCTCAGGAGACCTGCGCGTGCACGTAGGTTTTCAGACCCCTCGAGACCTCATAAATTAAGTCATAACTCATTTTGCGACATAAACAACAGTATACTCCTGTGAAATATTGCCTCTTTTGTCATGAAAACAGGGGAGAAAAACAATGCACAGAAGTCAAACGTCTGACACCTCGTGACAGTTCAGTTCAGCCCAAGCTCACAAAAAGCGTGCATTTAAAATTGAATATTTCTCTGACTGTCACAGAGAACAATGCCTGAAAATAAACCAGACAAATAAACCGTTTAAATACACGCAAGTACCCGCTGTGGACAAATAAACAAGGCGAAATAAATAAATAAAACAGTCTCAATACATAAACAAGCCAATGCAACAAACAAACACACTCTGTTATTTACCGTCTGCGGATGATAGAAGTGGCCTGATATTGAGAAGATATAAACTAAAAGATATAGCTGAATCGCTCCCGATTTATGCATTTATATGTGACACAGTGTCTCATCCAGCAGAAACTGCCCCAGCTCTCACACCAGCCCCCTTTACTGCCCCCCGGAAGTCATGTTTATTACACTGACATGCACTTCCTACAAAAACAAGTCAGTGACTGCCAACGGCAGGGAATTGTAGTTCCGAGAGCAGCGAGAGCCCGTTCACTTTACACACACAGGCTGTGTTAAGAAACTACAAATGATTTACGCTTATGAAACTGTGTAGTCCGAGAATCAGTTCTTTCGAACAGTTCGTTTTCAATGAACCCGATCAAACAGTCGTTTCAGTGATTCCTTTATGTCATTCCCCTCGGATCCATACAATCCGATTTCTAAACGATTCGCTCAGAGAGGTGTTGTTATTGTGAACGAATTCATTCTAAAGATTCGGCTCAAATGAATGATTCACTCAGGAGTCTGACATCGTGTTCTTTCGACAATATGGACATTGGTGTTGTGTTTAGGAGATGTGTTATATAAAATTGAGGTTATATTTGTGACGTAAAGTCAGGTAATGTCAACTAATGTTGGCGCCAGTCCGGAGCTTCTGTGTTTATATGTTTCGTCGTCGGGTAAGAATGAACTCTCCATATTTCACCGATTCAACATCTGGATTAGACACTTCTGCTAGTGATAGTATGGGGGAAAGTGCTGTAAATAAAGGAGTCCGTAGATTGAGATCCAGAATGGCTCAAGGGCTCAAATCAGAAGATGATCCTCCAAAAGTGAAAGCAGAAGTACTCGAGCAGAGTATTTCACTGCTGACACATGCACAGCCTCCTATAGGTCAGATGAACTGCACAGGTAGAGCTAAAACTATTTTAAACAATGCTATTCTAAATATTTTATATCATTATTCATGCATATATAAAACATTTTACAGAGACTGTGTCAACTTGCAAAAAGACAACCATAAAAGTGAAGGAAGAAGCAGTGGATAATCAAGCCCTTCTGACGTCATCTAGGAAAACAAGGCGGGGGCGTTTAAAGGTGGAGTATGAAGAGGAAGGGGCGGAGCTAAAGAGGGAACCGTGTGATTGGAGAACACAGCTGTCGTTTATCAGGGAGATGAGGAGCAAACGGGACGCTCCTGTGGACCAAATGGGAGCAGAAAAATGCTACGACACAGAGGCCCCGCCTGAGGTGAGCGAGAACCAATCGCAGACCACCGGAGGTAATCAACAACCAATCAGCTTTCTCTCTTCCTTCCTCAGGTGCGTCGTTACCAGGTGCTGATCTCCTTAATGTTGTCCAGTCAAACGAAAGATCTTGTGACGGCTGGCGCTATGCAGAGATTACGTGAGCATGACCTCAGCGTGGACGCCATACTCAACATGGACGAGGAGACTCTGGGCAAACTCATCTACCCTGTGGGCTTCTGGAGGGTAAATGACACATAAGTGTTCAAATACATGTGTATATATAATTAGAGCAACAGATTTCAAGAGTCAAAAACTCACAAGCGTCCTCTCAGACAAAGGTGAAGTACATCAAGCAGGCCACGGCTCTGATCCAGCAGGAGTTTGGCGGAGACATTCCTGACACGGTGGAGGGTCTGATGCGTCTGCCGGGCGTCGGCCCTAAGATGGCCCACTTGGCCATGGACATCGCCTGGAACCAGGTTTCAGGCATCGGTAGGGAGGAAGCTAACTTATTATCTTGACTTGACAAAGTTTCTCTCTGTTCTGACTCAAGTTGCTTTAACTTTTCTACCCAATTAGACAATCAGTTTTCCCATAATGAACGGAGAAAAATCATCACAGAACATTCTTGCAACCACCTATAAAACATCCAAAACACCAGCAACTACCTATAAAACATCCAGCAACTTGATATAAAACAGTTAGAACACCCTAGCAACTGCCAGTAAAACAGTCAGAAATCCCTAGCAACTACTGGTAAAACAGCCAGAACACCCTAACAACTACCTATTAAAACAGCAACTACCTATAAAACAGCCAAAACACCCTAGAAACTACCTATAAAACAGTCAGAACACCCTAGTAACTACATATAAAACAGCCAGAACACCCTAGCAACCACCTAACAGTCAGAACAACCTAGCAACCAGCAATAAAACACCCCCAAAAAAACACCAACTACTTATAAAACATCCAAAACACCAGCAACTACCTATAAAACATCCAGCACACCCTAGCAACTACCTATAAAACAGCCAAAACACCCTAGAAACTACCTATAAAATAGTCAGAACACCCTAGCAACTACATATAAAACAGCCAGAACACCCTAGCAACCCCATAACAGTCAGAACAACCTAGCAACCACCAATAAAACACCCAAAAACCAGCAACTACCTATAAAACAGTCAGAACACCCTAGCAACCCCCTAACAGTCAGAACAACCTAGCAACCACCTATAAAACAGCCAAAAAAACAGCAACTACCTATAAAACAGTCAGAACACCCTAGCAACCACCTATAAAACAGTCAGAACACCCTAGCAACCACCTATTAAAACAGTCAGAACACCCTAGTAGCAACTACCTATAAAACAGTCAGAACACCCTAGCAACCCCCTAACAGTCAGAACAACCTAGCAGCAACCACCTATAAAACAGCCAAAAAAACAGCAACTACCTATAAAACAGTCAGAACAACCTAGCAACTACCTATAAAACAGTCAGCAACTACCTATAAAACAGTCAGAACAACCTAGCATCTACCTATAAAACAGTCAGAACACCCTAGCAACCACCTATAAAACAGTCAGAACACCCTAGTAGAAACTACAAATAAAACAGTCAGAACATCCTAGCAACCACCTATAAAACAGTAAGAACACCCTATCAACTACCTATAAAACAGCTAGAACACCCTAGAAACTATGTATAAAACAGCAGAGCTGCACCATAGCAACCACCTAGAACTATGTACCCTTGCAATTACCTAACAACCATTCAGAATACCATGGCAACCACCTTGCAGTGCCCTCTAAACTAGGTAGAACACTCTTACAACTGCCTAGCAACCAATCAGAACTCTTAAGCGACACCCCACATTCTTAAAAACTTCAAATCTTTCTTTAAACTTTGACAAATTTCAATTCTTTTTTTGTTGTAAGTACTGTATTTATAATATGTTGTGTGTGTGTGTGTGTGTGTGTGTGTGTGTGTGTGTGTGTGTGTGTGTGTGTGTGTGTGTGTGTGTGTGTGTGTAGGCGTGGACACCCACGTCCACCGAATCTCAAACAGGCTCGGATGGACCAGAAAAGAGACCAAGACACCAGAGGAGACACGGAGAGCTCTCGAGGAGTGGTTACCACGGTAACCTCTATTTTCGTCCTGTTGTTTCCAACATTCATTTCTAAAAGACAACATCACAACAATTTCATTGAAGTACCGCAATTTTCTCTCCTGCCCTTCCCCTTGTTGCAGAGATCTGTGGAGCGAGATCAACTGGCTGCTGGTTGGTTTCGGGCAGCAGGTGTGTTTACCTGTCGGCCCGCTGTGCTCCGTGTGTGTGAATCAGCACACCTGTCCCGCCGCACACCGATCCTCTCCCAGCAAGAAGCTCAAGACCAGTCCAGCATCTCCAACACCACAGGTTAAAGGGAACCTGGGACAGGAAAAGCCCAGAGGAAACCGACGGAAGGGGAAAGCAGGAGCGCCACCATCAGGACAGACCTCTGTCTTACATTCAGCTTGAACTGAGGACTGTTAAATTCAACACAAATATCACATCACATTGATTACGTTTGTTATCAAATATATTGTAACTAAATGGAAAATGTGTTTTATATTAGTTTTAGATTAAAGGACATTGTTAGAACAGCATACTACTCTTATTTCAAGTTTTCCTTCATAAAATATCATAAAAATGGCCAAAATTTGCATCCCACAATGCATTGCGCTCAACCTTTTATTGAGTCATTTTTCCATATAAATGATGTGGTAACACTTTATTTTACAGTGTCGTTGTTACATATGTTACATGTACTTACCATAGTAATAACAGTAAATTAGGCATAATTACATGCAACTAAACCTCAACCAAACCCTAATCATATAGTAAGAACGTTTTGTTAATTAATATTGCTCTAATATTACTCTTATATAATTGCACTGTAACACAGACACCTTAAAATAAATTGTAACCCATGATATATATGCACAGCACGCTAGTATTTAATATAGAGTAGCATATTAGTGTACTTTTGCAATGTGTTTATTAGGTACAATATGTAAACTGTCAAAAGTTCTGAATAATTAATGTTTTTGAAAGAGTCTCTTCTGCTCAATAAGGCAGCATTATTTGATAAAAAATACAGTAAAAAACTGTAATATTGTGAAATGTTATTAGAATTTTAAAAAGCTGTTTTCTATGAGAATATAGTGTAAAGTGTAATTTATTCCTGTGATCAAAGCTGAATTTTCAGCATCATTACTCCAGTCTTCAGTGTCACATGATCCTTCAGAAATCACAATATGAGGATTTGATGCTCATGAAATATTTCTTATAATCATCAGTGCTGAACAGAGTTAAACTGCTTCATATTTTTGTGGAAACCGGGATACATATTTTCAGGATTTTTTGATGAATAAAAAAGTTCAAAAGAACAACATTTATTTAAAATAGGAATATTTTGTTACACTTAAATACGTTTTTACTGTACAGTTTAATGCACCCTTGCAGAATAAAAGTATAATTTTTTTTTTTATTACCCCAAACATTTTAATGACAGTGTATCATAAATAATAAAATAACCATTTCTTCTGAAATATGTTCTCAGATAATAACTAGACGCTAATCACTGAACTACACGTCCAACGTCATGACATCACGTGAATAGCGTACTACTGTTTGCAACATTCAGTATTCAATATACGCTATTTCATTTTGAACACAACCTTTTTGATTTAATTTTGATTTAACAGTTTTTGTCAACACTAGAGGGCAGACCGGTCAAAAATTACTTCCCATAAAAAATTGCACCTACACACACATTTACAGATGTGAATATGAGGGGGAAAAGCATCAGATTACCAAATACAGTACATCTAGCGTCATGTATTCGTTGTACTCATTGTAAATCTACTGTTTTCTAACTGAATGATTTATTCGTTGTGTTTTGGAGTTGAACGTGTGGGCGAGCTGCCTGTTTTAAATGCAGTGGGTGATAATGGACCTTATACAGTAGTTGATCATCACTGCTCCAGGTCAGTTATGTGTCTGTGTTATTGAATCAGTGTGGGTTAGATGAGCTGATCCCAGATCTGTCCAAAAGCACACATGAAGAGGAAGAGTTCCGCATGGATATCGGTGACTTATCCAACATCTGATCTCTCAAATCCTCCTCCTCTCCCTCTCCCCTCTCTCTCTTACACACACACACACACACACACACACTTTACAGTTTTTCTCTCATCCTCTTCCACCTGTTCTGTTCTCACACTCGCACACTGATGCCTCAGAGACTCATTTTGACTATTATTGATTGATTATATTATTTCTGAAGAAGAATACGCATCCTTGTATCACTGGGAACGCTTGTGGAATGCGCGTGACTGACGGAACGTCTACTGAAAAAAAACTTATCGGACTGTAAGTGTGATGAAGAGATTCATTTTGTGGACGATACACTCGAGTAAAGATCTGTTTTTCAACACAAATTGAAGTAAACATTCTTAACACGGCGGGATTTATTAAAACAAACGGAGGACACGGTTTTAAGCGCGTTTAGCGTTAAAGTGTGCGGTGTTTTTATGTGTTTTGTTTAGTTTTTATTTGTATTTTATATTAATATAGGCCTATAGTAGCCTATTTTTATTTTAAAATTGAATTAGTAAAAAAAGTAGCCAAGATATTATTTCTCACCGTTTTTATAGGCTATGTTGTTTATTTTCTTAACGGCTCGGAAACAACGGCTACAGACTCAGCATGTGGAATAATGCATCCTTTAAAACTTAACTCATCATAAAGCAGCATATAGGCCTATTCATGTTGTGACTGAACTCGAGTGCAGTTGGATATGGCGAACACTCTGGAGAGAGAGATCCTGGAGCGGGAGCTTCGTCCACGGCTGTGTTATTTGACTAAAGGAGATCGTGGGTACGGGTTTCATCTGCACGGGGAGCGCAACAGTGGAGCGCAGTTCATCCGCAAGATCGAGCCAGGCTCCCCGTCGGACCTGTCCGGGCTCCGGTCCGGCGACCGGGTGGTGGAGGTGAACGGGGAGAACGTGGAGGGAGAGACGCATCACCAGGTAAATGAGAGAGGAGAACCTGTTGGACCACTTCACCTGGGGACGTGTCCCAAAAAAAAAATAGTGAGATGCCTACCTAGACAGCATCATCCTGTAAGTGTAAAACACGCCATTCCTAACGCGCGTCAGACACGCAATGCTGTTTAGATAGGGATCTGAGTGTGTTTTGAGACACCGGTCGTGTTGTAGGCTATTCCCATAGCAGCTAGGGCTATTCCACACTAACGTGACAAGTTAATGTATATTTGCTTAAGACTGTATCCTTGTGTGTAGATGTTAAGAAAACAGTTCAGTCTCGCCTCTGCGAAACCTACACTTTCGCCTCCACCCTAACAAACATTTACCGTGGTAACCACATTTTACCATAGTTATTACTGGGAAAAACTATAATATATAAACAGTGGACCGCCTTGAAATAGTGCAATAAGTTTATAGATTTTTGTCTTTCTTTACTTTTTATTGTAGTGTATCTAAAAAATCAAAAACATTATGGTGATCCATGGTACAATAAATATGTAAAATGCTAATACCATGCTGAATGACATAATATTCATGCACCATAGCATTTATATGGTATGATAGAGCCCTTAAGGGACATGGTTAATGGTAAAAAAAAAAAACAATTTAAAAGAACAAGATGGGAGTAAAAATGTCATTGCTTCTGCTTTCTCTCATAAAACTTTTGTGTTCCCCAAGAAACTTTGCATGCCCTAAAAAAAAAATTGTTGCTCCGAGAAACTTTGATTTGTCTAGCAAAACGTTTGTGTTCCTCCGAGAATTTTGCGTTCCCTATTTAAACTTTTGCGTTTCAGCCAGAAACTTTGCGTTCTCTAACAAAAATTTTGTGTTCCCTGATAAACTTTGCATTTGCAAGCTAAATTTTTGCGTTACCGTGAGAAACTTTGCGTTCTCTAGCAAAACTTTTGTTTCTCCGAGAAACTTTGCGTTCTCTAGCAAAACTTTTGCATTCTTGTGAGAAACTAGCATTCACTAGCAAAACGTTTGCGTTCCCCTAAGAAACTTTGCGTTCTCTTGCAAAACTTTTGTGTTCCTCCGAGAAACCTTGCATTCGCTTGCAAAACTTTTGTTCCCTGATAAACTTTCCGCTCCCGCGAGAAACTTTGTGTTCGCTAGAGAAACTTTTGCGCTTCCGCGAGAAACTTTACGTTCGCTGGCGTAACTTTTGCGCTCCCGCGAGAAACTAATGCGTTCGCTAGTGAACCTTTTGCGCTCCCGCGAGAAACTTTGTGTTCGCTAGAGAAACTTTTGCGCTCCTGCGAGAAACTTTGCGTTCGCTAGTGAACCTTTTGCGCTCCCGCGAGAAACTTTGCGTTCGCTAGTGAACCTTTTGCGCTCCCGCGAGAAACTTTGTGTTCGCTAGTGAACCTTTTGCGCTCCCACACGAAACTTTGCGTACGCTGGCGAAACTTTTGCGCTCCCACGAGAAATTTTGCGTTCGCTAGCAAAATGTCTGCGTTCCCCCGAGAAACTTTGCGTTTATTTGCTAAATGTTTGTGATGAAAATAACATGAGGTGGGAGGAAAAACTTTTAGTTTCAGTGATTTTCCAAGAGAATGCAAAGTTTGTCTGGGAACGCAATACCTATGGGAGAGTACGCAAAAGTTTTGCGAGCAAACATGAAACCATTAAAAATATCATTTTCCCTCCCATGTCTGTACTATGGCAGCCCACGGTACCTCAAAGAATAAAATACTATGATTAAATTGTACCAAAAAGCGAGTGGTAATGCCATGGTACTGTGCGATACGTTTCAGTGGTTCCTCTGTCTCTCAGGTTGTCGAGCGGATCCTGGAGGTGGAGCACCGGACCAGACTGCTGGTGGTGGACCGGGTCACAGACGAGTTCCTGAAGTTTCACGGGCTGCCGTGTACGGAGGAGAGGGCGATTGAGATGGGCTCTCTGTCTGCTCGTTCCTCTGCGGCGTCTTCTCCACGCGCCTCCCCGCGGGACCCCGCCACGCCTATCTACAGCAGACAGAGCTCAGAGGGCATCTTCATTAACAAGGTATTATTTTCATAAATGTATCGATGTAACTGAGCCGTCGGTTTCAGGATAGGTGGACTTGGAAACAACATGTTCTCCTTCTCCGCACTCTTGTGGGAGACTCTTTGAGAGGAAGTCTAGGGGAAATCCAGCTCAGAGAGGAGCTGTGTGCTATATTTAGGTCATACTGTATGAAGAATAGGGTTGGGAAATGGTTCATTCAATTCCATGTGCCACATTTAGTTCATTCCGGACCTTTATAAGCTCCAGAGGTGCCTGTGCTCTTCAGGGGAACACCACGTTTTTGGTCTAATCCAACCCTCAATGTAAAACTGGAGGAAATGAATGTGTCACTTGATAGAAGCTAGTCAAATTAGGTGTGTGAACATGTCAGGTTACGTGACATCTTTGGAAGCCAAAACTATACAAAGCAGGGTTGTTATTTTTGTTGACTAATACTAAAAAAAAACATGATTTTTTTTTTCATCACTCAAAATAAACATTAATTGAAATGAAATAACTATAAAAAAACATTTTATTTCAGTTAGTTGCCAATGCAACATTTCTCATTTTCGTTTAGTCTAAAAACTAAAATAAATAAAACGATATAAACTACAACTTAATAAAAACCATATACACTCTTAAAAACTCTAAGAACACTCTTAAGGTTCTTTATTAGAAGAAGAACCTTTAACATCAATGTAACCTTTCAATTCCACAGAAGGTTCTTTATAGTGGAAAAGGGTTCTTTTAGATTATTAAAAACAAAATTCACACTGAGAAAAAATGGTTCTTTTAAGAACTGTTGGGGAACCAAAAATGGTTCTTTAAAGGGGTTGAGACATGAGAAATCAAATTTGCCTTGATCTTTTGACATATAAGAGGTCTTTGTACCATTAAAACATCCTTTAAATTTCATTGCTTAGAATATCCTCCTCATTAAAAACAAAGCATTTATTTAATCAAACTCCAAAAAGGGCTTGTTTGGATCTGTGGCGTCACACGGGCAAATACATTTGCATATGACTGCCTCCAGAGCAATACATCGACCAATAGTTTTACATTATTGGACCATAGGCCCCGCCCACTGGCATTCAGTCACTTAAAGGCACAATATGTAAGATTTTTTCGCCACAAGAGGGCGCAGTTTCCAACAATAACAAAGGCGTAGGTTGATGACGCAGTGATGAGCTGAATGATGGGACTTGCTGTCAAGCTGATGGATCTAATAATATTTATGGATGAGTGCAAACATTCATGTTTTTTTAACATTACAGTGGTATGAAGCAGTTCGCGATTGCTAAAGAGACAGATATCACACGCGAGTCCCGCGGATATAAAGGAATAAGGACATTTAATTCTACCGAACTACCCGCAAGTGCTGGATTACTCACACAGGTCAGTTTATAAATTTGTGAGGTAACGCAGCGCTGCTTCACTTGGTCTAACGTGACACTATCACACTAAACGGCATTTAAATGTGTGTTGAAAGTTATAATGTTTTACTACGTGTTAGTTCGTTTCCTATACGAAACTAGCAGTAAGCTAGATCAACATTAGAATAACATACTGACCATATTCTAACATTTCATCATGTTGAGCTAACGTTATATAGCATTGATTTGTTTTATGTACATTTGCTCACCTGTCTAATAAAGCTGTCAAGTCGTGACTCGTGAAGCTCTGTCGAGTCCAAGTTAGTCGCGGACGTGGAGCTCTCGGCATCTCAAAACGCCACGCTGATATTGATCCTCATTTTAGTTCTCCTCGTTTGTCCCAAAGTCTGCTTGCCATGGTCTCTGTTTGAAAGAAACAAGAACTGCGTGCCGCTAAACGTTACGCACTACGCAGTTGTCCACGTCTGTCGCCATGGTTACGTCATGGCTATGGCAGTATGAACGGAAACCGAGGATAGCGCGGATATTGCGTCATTGACAGGCGACATTTTTTTCCGGGACGGCCACTTATTTAAAATGGGAATTTCTCTAAAATAAAAAATCTTTGGAGACTTTTGGGATATTGTAAGTACACAACTGCAGGAAATATATCACACTGTGCAAGTGATTTTTGGATATTTTATTACAAAATTCTTACATATTGTACCTTTAACGGCTGACATTTGGTTACACTGGATGTGAGCATTGCGTTGCGTCAAAAGCAAAAAGAACCCATTATAATCAGTGACGCTGTCTACACTGGATACAGTATGCAGATGCGTGTTGTTTCAGAAATAATCTACGCACTTGAGTCTGTCGACAACAGCACAAGTGTTGGCCTTGACACGTCCTGTTTAAACAGCTAATTTCTGCACAGACTTCAGAAGGATATCAGCAACAAGTGGATGGTTTATTTAATGGCATCCTGTATCGCACCGGAGGATTATATGTTTGTTCAGAGCATTTTCTTTGTAAACGAGGCTCAGTCTAATGGAGAGTTCGCTAAATAACTTATGTTGACAGATGAAGCAGCGACTGTACTGAATCTGACAGCAGCGGCATCACAAACTACAAGTAAATGATTTCATAATGCCTTGTCTGTGAATGACAGTTTTATATGGATAATGTTTTGAAAGCACTTATTCACGTGCAATAGCGAGTGTGCGTTAGCCAATCATAACAGTAGCCGCTTACTGACAGGTATTAAAGGAGCTGCCCTTTAAAAACGGATCATTTCAGAATGAGGGTTTTTCCATATAATGGACAAATATATATACATATATTGTGCAAAAAAACCTTAAGTGGACCTCAAGGAACATATTAATGACCCCTTTAATGGCATCGCTGGGAAAACCCTCTTTCTAAAGAGTGTATATGTTTAAAAAAAAAAAAAAAAAAAGCTTATGCAGTTTATGATTATTATACGTTGCAATATTTGATTTTAAGGACAATCCGACCGTTTGATCTGCGCAGATGTGAAATCAACCAAGCCTAAGATTACATGTGTGTTAAGAAACGAGGGATACGTTTAATCCACCCAAAGACACTTTCTGCGCCTTATGTGTCCAGGTCAGGTGAGGTGTGTTGACAGCAGACGGCTATAGGATCAGCACACAGCAAGAGTCCTGTAAGCCCAAATCCAGTGATAGTCGACATGCAATCATGTTATTGTTTGTTTTATTTTTAGCTGCAGACTTTCTGAACGCCATCTGCAATGGGATTCAGTCCAACAACCATCTAACAGTGTTTGAGAGAAACTAAAACTAACTAAAACCAACTAAAAAGTGTTGCTTTTCCAGTAACAAGCCATTCCTGTATTCTTTCTAATTTATTTTATAGAAATTAGAGTGTTTTCTAGTTTTATTAAGGCTGGTATTCCTACACTACACAACTTTGGCACATATTTTTGCCCCCAATTTACAGTCTGGACGACTCAATGCTAGTTGCTAAAATTCAGAGCCTGTCTGCAGATTTTGGTCAATCAGAGCTGACACATTTCACTTTAAAAGGTTTTTAACTTAAGATATTAAAAGTCATGTAGTGTATTTCAGCCTGTAGTTATGAGCATGATTTATGTGTTCAAGTTTGATGCTGTGAGCCTCACTGAACTCTTCCTGACTTTGCTTCATGTAAATATTGATCTGATTTGTAATAAATCTGACTCTTAATTCTGATTAGATGAGCCATATTAATGAGCTAAGTTGCTTGGCAACCATGAACAGCCTGTAATTGACCTAATTAACTGAATTACTTAATTGTTGAGTCTTATTAGTATTACTAATTAATCCGAATTAATCTATTTATGTAACTTGCTACAAATTGCTGTTGTTGTCATTATGTAAACAAAATAAGCCACCTGAGGTCTCATGTTACTGTGTTTTTACCACAGTTAAAGTCCCCCTGTGGTGAAAATCAAGCTTTTAATGTTGTTTATATGTCTATGTGGTGTTTTTAATATGCTTTAAGACAAACCATGTGTAAATTCATAAGTCGACAGCATTGCTGAGTATTTTCTCCTTAAAACTGCAGTGAAGCAAAGACAGGTTCAAAAACACGTCACACACTACCTTGTAACCAATCAGATCAACGTGTGATCGTCAACGAGTGGATCTCTGAGCTGAGTGAGTGAGTGAGTGGAGGCGGGGCTCATTTGCATATTCATAGAACCGCGTATACTAAATGAGGCAAGGGTGTCGAGTTACATTCAAGCTATTTTAAGACATGAAGAAATTTTTCAAGGAAAAAACATTTAAATATGTCATTTTGGTGATCAAAGATGAGTTTTAAGGGATAAAATCATTGACTACAGGGGGACTACAGCTTCAAAAACACTTCTTACTTGTGGGTTATCTTATAATTTTATATAGATCTTTATGATTATAGTAGTGAACTTGTATGGAAGCCGATTATATCTTCGAGAGGCTAGTTTGACTGTGATTTAACTCATTTTAAATTATGAGTAGGTTGTGTCTTGGCAAACAGCAGTTTAGAAGCAGCTTCCCCAAACACTGGCATCTGACATCTCACAACACAAACAATACTGGCATTCACACACCTGACCACTGAAACTACCGAGTACAGAACCGACCACTGACTGTATTCTCTTCTGGTATTTCTCTCAGAGTCCCAGCAGCCCTGGAAGAGTGATGAACGGCTCCCCGCTCTACAGAGCTTGTGCCCGTCTGGCGTCGCCCGTGTTCCTGTCTCCGCCGTCGCCCCGTGAACCCAAGACTGAACCCTTCACCGAACTCACTGACGAATCCAGAGTCACGCCCGAGACTGAACCCGTCTGTGACCTCATCACTGACCTCAGCACATCTCAGACCAGCACGCAGGTACAGTCTGTGTGAAAGCAGCAGTGTCTTTATTATGTGGATCTGCGAAGTCCTTTTCAACACGATTAGTATTAGTATTGGTAGGTATTTAAAATCCAGAAATCAGAAAATCCAAAAGAACTATTTGATTAGTTTAATGCATTCTTGCTCAATAAAAGTATTCATTTCTTTATAATTTGTTCTTAAAGTCCCCCTGTAGTCAATCATTTTATCCTTTAAAGGTCCCCTGACATGGGGTTATTTTATTATTTTATAATGTTTCCTGGGTTGCCCTTATAATGTTAGTATGTTTTTTAGATCAAAAATAGTCATAATTTAGAAATAAAAGGCATTTTTCCTAGCCTGCTTTTAGCCTCTGATTTGAACACTCTGTTTGAAGGGGCGTGTCTGCTGTGGGATTCAGTGTAACCGCGGCCACTGCTGTGATTGGCTGACATGCTTGCATATGAAATAGCTACGCATTACATGTGAAACTCTCTCCCGAATACTTTTACTACTGCTATTATACGTTTTTACTATTACAGCTATCGAGATTAACGAATCGTGAGAAGTTTTTAAAGTATTTAGATCTATTCCCATCACATAAAATGTTGCCGTGGTGCCGTGAGCATTAAACAAGCAGATGACAGATCGGGAGAATGAAGATCTTATCATTGCAACTCAGTTTCTGCACTCTCTCTAATGCTTTCACCAATGCAAACATGATGATGTACATACAGTAAGAGCTTCGTTGTGCAGTGTAACGTGTGTCATTGATTTCATAGCGAGTTGTCCAGATAAACTCGCGCTGTGTGGAAAGATTGTTCTTTGATCGCTTTCTGTATAATTTGTTCACAATTTAAATAAGATTATTTTCCTACTACTAAAAGAAACGATGTGAATTTGATATTTTAGTCACTGGCTTGACTTATGCATAAACCGTATTGAACGATTTGAGAGAAAGATTACCTGTCTGAACTTGAACAATTACACATCAGAAATTGTTGTGTAATTGGTAGCTCGATGGATTTATTTTCAGACGTTCATCGAGGCCAGCTCTGTATTGGCCCAAGTTGAGGAAACAGTCGTCGGTGAAATGTTTGGACCATACACAACTTTGGGAAGTTGTGTCGGCGCATTTCCAGAGAAAATAAAATTATTAACCCATTGTTTCTTCAGAGGCTCGGATGAAGGAACTAAAAAATACCTTTGTGTTCATTTGTACATCCGAACACTGATCAACTGCCATGCTTCGCTCGTTTGCAAGCCATGATATCTCTCGAGGAAAAACTCAAATCGCGCTCGCGCGTTCGTTCTTCCTAGCTCACTTTCTCATGGGCGAGCCAAACTCTCCGGGCGGGCAAAGCAGAGAAGGGGAGGTTACCTTTCCCCTATATGACGTCATATAGGGGAGATTCAAGATCAGCCCGTCTGAGATCTCATTTTCTTACAGGCAGAGAAAGATAGCCAAAACTCGGTTTACACCGACTGAAATTTCTAGACACGAGGGGACCAAATACAGGCTA